CCTGGCCTTACGTGACAGCAACACCTGTGGCCTTCACGTACTCGAATTTTGTCTCCTATTGTTCTCAAGTTGTTTAATGTTTTCTAAGTTTGCCTTCCAATTAAACATACAGGCCTCAATGGCAGGGATGTCTATCCACCTCCTTTTTCTGCTGCAATTTATTTTTTTGTTTCATTTTGGCAAACATACACCCTTCCCTTCCAGTTTCACTTTTCTGTGATTTCTGTAATCCTTGGTCAATCATGGTCAAGAAATATTAAATGAAAACTTCCAGAAAGAAACGATTCCTAAGTTGTTTTTTTTTTTATAGGCAGAGTGGACAGTGAGAGAGAGAGACAGAGAGAAAGGTCTTCCTTTGCTGTTGGTTCACCCTCCAATGGCCGCCGTGGTTGGCGCACCACACTGATCTGAAGGCAGGAGCCAGGTGCTTCTCCTGGTCTCCCATGGGGTGCAGGGCCCAAGCACTTGGGCCATCCTCCACTGCACTCCCTGGACACAGCAGAGAGCTGGCCTGGAAGAGGGGCAACCGGGACAGAATCCGGTGCCCCGACCGGGACTAGAACCTGGTGTGCCGGTGCCGCTAGGCGGAGGATTAGCCTATTGAGCCGTGGTGCCGGCCCGATTCCTAAGTTCTAAACTGCATGCCATTCCGGGTAACAGGATGGAATCATGCAGTGTCCCTGCTCCACCTGGCCTAGGGTGCAGATCATTCCTTTTGTTCATTGTCTCCACACCGTAGACACTCTCAGCCCGCCAGTCACTTAGGAGCCATCTCGGATACCAGATCAGCTGTCCCAGTATCACAGTGCTGGTGTAACATTTATTTTACTGAACAATGACCCCAAAATGCAAGAGTAGCAATGCTGGCAACTTTATTACAGTATATTGCTATAATTGTTCTATTCTACTATTAATTGTTAAATTCTTACAGTGCCTACTTTATAAACTTTATTAAAGTAGTGTTTGCATAGGGAAAAACATTGTATAAATATTATATACATTATATCTGTATATTATATCTGTATATATTACACACACACACACACACACACACACACATTATTTACATAGGTCTGAATGGATTCAGTATCCAGTGTTGTAGACATCCACTAGGAGTCTTCAAATGTATCCCCCATGGGTAAAAAATATCCACATGTGCTTATAAAGCAGATGTTTACTTTCTATGGAAGCAAGGGAGGATGGGAAGGAGAAGAGGGAAGGGTAAGGCAACTTGCCAAAGGGGATTGTGTCTTTGGGTAGAATTTGGCTTAATCTGAATCTCCCCCCCCCCCTTTTTTTAAACAATCTCTTATGAATCTAAACTTGCCTGAAAAAAAAAAAAGTTGTGATTTTATAAATGAATGAGATTTTACTCAAAGGCCTCAAATTTTCAGCAAAAGAAATAGCTCACCAGCACCTCATGCTCTGTAACCAAAGGCAATAATTTGCAATCTTCTCTTTTCTTCAACAAATCAGATTCTGCCATTCCCTTTGATGCACTGTAGCAAATCACTCAAATAGCAACAGCTACTTTTGATACACAATGTAACACCACTATTCTTTCTACCTGAACATTTATACATCCTAAAAAGAGCCTTCAAATCCCTCTTCTCTCAGTGTCTATGCCCACTCTGAGGTCCAGTTTGCCATTTCTTGCAAACATTTGTCATTGGTCTTCCCTGAGCTACTCTTACCCTCTTAAGAGCATTCTACACAAATAGCCAGGGACAGCCCATCTGCTCATGGCATTTTCTTACCTAAAAATCTCAGTCACCGCCTGGCACCTCAAGATCAAAATCTTTAGCGGCATCTGTAAGGCTTGCTGTGGTCTGATGCCCAACCACCTACCAGCTTCATTTCACACCGACGGACCCCTTCTCTGGGCTCCAACCAGGGGAACCTGGTTCCCTCCAGCTCCTGGTTCTCTGCCTTTGTTCTTTTCTCAGCTGAATAGCTATTTTCCCTAGGAAGCCACCCTTTATCCATACAAGACAATTCCCTCTGCCACACATACACACTCAAAATCACATGCCTTTCGTTCACAAGCAATTTGTACATTTACAATTATGTGTTCACGCAATCATTTACATAATGCTTGCCTTCCTAACCAGTCTAAAACACTCCTAGACACAGTAGCTATGGCTGTGTTGCTTACCACTTGCCTACAATAGAACATACTGTAAAAGGTAGCAGCATTTAGTAGCAGGTAGTAGGCATTTAATAGATATTTGATATTTGAATGTCACATGCAATTGATGCATTATCACTTGGATTTTTTTCCCCTTTTGTAATTTTAGCCTCCCTAAGTCACAATTTCAATGAATTGAATTCTAGGAAAGTAGCGTATTCAGATTAATGTTCAAATTTACCTATACATTTATTTACTGTAGGTCTACATAAATTTGCAATTAATCGCAATCCTTCCCCCCCTCCTGAAAAATGCAACTGATACAATTCACTAAACTTTTAGTTGAATGTGCTGGACTTCTCTGTGGATTTTTATTTTATAAACAACACACTCTATTTTTGAAAATGAAGTCTAGATATTTAAGACTCCTCAAACTTAGGAGGGGGAATAATTTGGGATAAAAAGCAAGGAAAGACACAATATTTTAGTTTGTAAAATGGTTTATTTACAATTTGGTATTTTAAAATTGTATTTGAAATTTTAATTTTTATATATTTGCTTGGCAGGCACTCTAGATTTTCTTAAATATAGAAGAAAAGGATAGGAAACCTGAGGACGTTGAAATTGAAGAGATTTACCTGCTGCTACAGTCAGTAAAATTTAGTTTTTCATCCCTGAGAATTAGTAAAGTGTCAAAAATATTTTCATACATTCAAATGTAAAAAGCAATTTAAGAACAGAGTAGAGAGTAAAGCTACAAAAATGAACCTCCCCACAAAGGGCAAAATGAGGTCACTCTTCAACAACTAATGGAGGGGTGTGCACGTGTTTGAAGTTATTCAATGCACCTAAGAGACTAAGATGCTCAGATGCCACACTCCTCGGTTTTTTTGTAATTTCTCTCATTTGAAAAATATTCCATAGAAATGCCCATTGATAGCACAAATTTCCTTCCCCTTTCTAAACGTGTGCATGTGCTGTGTGGTTAAGGATTTGCGTTGGCTGTCCGAGACCAAAACTATCTGATTACAACCTAAACCCCCAATTTTGCAGCGTTTTTACAAAGTCACTTCAGCTTCTTCAAATATCCACCGATAATTATAGCTCCTAGGGATGTATAAAGATGAACATCATGAGCTTCCTAAGATACCATGAGGTATGTGAAGGAGATTTTTCTGGAACACATGACACAGAGGAAACAGATACTTCTTACTTATTACACATGACCGGTTAATGCTCTCAAAATGCTGGCTTTCTTTGGAAGAGTAAAAATTCATTTAAACTTAAATTATTTTAAATAAACTTAATTTAAACTAAAATTAATTAAACTTATTTGAGATATAAGAGAATGGCAATTATCTCCTCCTCCAATTATGTGTGAAATGTCCACTGACATTAAGGATGTGACTATAGCAGAACAGTAAGTCAAAGTCAAACCAAATAAACAAACCAAAGACTCTGCAGTAAGATGCAATTTTCTTCTGTGTGTGCAACACATTGGCAGTCATTTTTCATTTTGGACAATGTTAAGTATCACCAATGACAAGTATGTATTTGTCTAATGGCCCAAAGGAAATGCAATGTAATTCAAACTTTCAAAAAAGAAAACAATGAAGCAAAACCACAAATACCCTTTCTTCAAATCCCTCTTCATGCTCTCTTTCTAAAACAAAGTAATCAAGCCAATTTTCCCTTCTTTAAAAGACCAGTATCAAGGTCAGCTAGGAACATTCTCTAGTGCTAGCTTACAGGCAACTTTGAAGTGCCAAGAATATCATATAGCTGTTGATTCCAAAAGGGAAAAGATTATTAGAGATTCAAACAGAATACAGTATTAATCAATTTAAGAGCTTTCAAAGATCTGATGAGAAGAGAGTGAGTGGGAATTATAAGCTGCTCTAAATCAGATCTGAACAATATATTTTTAAATCTAAATTGCTCCTTTTAGTACCGCTTTTGAATGCTACATACAATGCACATCTTTAAAACTCTGTATATATTTTGCACTGGGAGCAACCTTTGAGAAGCTAGATGAGCAACCCTGAGGGCTATGGCATAGGCAATGCTAAGACAAAGGGTGGGCTTGGGAATTCTTACATAGCATTTCCTCGTTTTAACAAATCGCATTGTTGACACCTGAAGCCACAGTCATTTCTGGGCCATTGGTGGCAGGAGGGATGTAAATAAGAATATGAGGTAGTTCTTTCCACACGAGGGAAATATATGTCCGTGTACCATCCCTGCAATGTCTGACAAATTACCAGATCATGGGCTTGCTGTTGTCTGTGAGTAAACTCTGAGCTTGGTATTTAGTGTCCTTGACAAATCTGGAGTTAGCTGCAGTTTCAAAGGCCTTATTTCCTCACCCAGCCATGACAGGAGACATGAAAACCCCCAACAAGAGGCCCCTAGACACCACCAAGTACAAAGACTGCAAAAATACCCAAGTGTTGGAAAGCATAAGGGGCAGCTGGTGAGAACACTAAGAAAAAGGAAGATTGGTGTGCATAGACGGCCCACAGCTTAAGTACCCTTCGAAGGCTAAAAAACTAGACTGGGAGCTCTAGAATGATAGTGAACAGGACAGGGATGGCATGAAGGAAACGTGAAATGATAAGAGGAAAGGAACAGCGTATCCTGAGAAAGGAGCTACCTCCTCAATCTTTACTCCTTACTTGGAGTTTGCGTTGCTTATAGGTGACCTAATACATAAATTCTTGCAATGAACAAATTAGTAGGATGACCTAAGTTGTCAAGGCACTGACAGAGAACTGATCTATTTGGCTTTCTAAACCTTCTTGAGGCTCACAGAGCAAGAATAATACCAGAAATAGATCAGGAGGTAAATTACAGTTAGAAAAGGGGAGAAAAGTAAGGTAGGACATTAAAATTTTATTCTGAAATTATCTCTGGCCACAACAATAAATTTTAACAAATATTCACTAAACAGTCTTACTCCTGTCATCAGCTGTACAATACATACAGTATCATAGAACTGGCCACTAGGATTGAAATCCACTAGAACATATTCCATGTTAAGTGGCGACAGCAGCATCTCACAGAAATGTTTACATACATATGTACACAGTCCACATTCGACCATTTTCACATGTTTTCAGTACACACAGTTGCAGCATATTACAGTCACATGTCTAAGTTGTTGCTCGATAAAAACCCAAGCCCCTGCCTAGACATAACTGTAGCAGTTGAGCTGAGTATAATTACAATGAATTTTATATATGTCCATAGCAGAGAGATGTACAAGCCCCTAAGAAACAAAGAGTTCACGAATACTTTTTTTTAAATGCTACCACAGCATTATGTTGGGCAATATTAAAACCTTTACCAACCAAATCAGGTTTTTAAAAAGTCTTCTGCTTACCAGAAATATTCTTGATGAAAAAAATTACAAAAATGAATGCTCTCTTTAAAATAATTCACACTTTTATTTTAAGATTCCAATATGGCCCAATGCTACTGATGCCTAAAGTGTTTCCTAACATTCCAATGGAGTCATTTAATGTGACTCCAAACCACCCATTAAGTTTAAAAGTGGCTTAAGTGCCTTGCACCCAAATTGTAAAAATCCCTGGCCACCCTTACTAGAGCCAGGCACATAGAAAAGGAATGCACTTTGGTTCATACCAAATGCCCTGGGATTAATCAGACTATAAAATTAAATCATTTGAGGTAAATTTTTACAAATACAGTTGATTTTTGTCTAGTGTTAGCATAACAAAAAAAATATCATTTAAAAAATCAGTTTGATGTTAAGATACAACAAAGACCATCTTTAACCCCTTAAAACATAGGAATTCCCTGTGTAACTAACCGATGGTTATCTTTTCAGTGCCTGATGATGATTCATGCCTTATGGTTTCTATTAAGGCCTGGAACTAGATATTTAAGACAGATGTATCTTTGCAGAGGTGGGTCCCATCCTTACTGCCTAGTATTCAAAGAGTTAAAGAGGCCAAAAAATGCATGCCCTACAACATGGCATTCAGAACAAAAGGCACATTGTTAACACTAAGGGCACGATTTCTCCTCTACTGTTAATCTGCACTGTCTTGCATCACGCTGTTGTTCCACCGTTGTAGCAATACACTTTAAAGTGATAATGAACACTCTGGTGGTGCAAGAAACAGAGCCAAATGAGACTGCAACCAAAGACAAGACAACACTGTGCTAGTCCTAAATCTGAAAACAGCTCAGACATCCCTAGACAATGGTAACCTGTGAGACCAAGGACTGTTTCCAAGCCAACTCCTAGTAGCCTATCAGAGCCCTTCATCTATTTATGGTTTAAAATCACATAAGATGCAACATCTTTCCTTTATTGACATTACAATCAAGCTAGAATTTTTCCTTTAAGCAGCTCTATTACTAGATACCGAAATGTGGCAGCTCTTGTGAATAGAGGAAATCTCACTGTATTTGGACCAAAAAAGAAAAAAAAAAGAAAAAAAAAAGCCCCATAGCGCTGCACATCGTAGTTTGGCTTAAAAGTTTCCGGTTGCATCTGTGAATGCAGACAGAAATGCACTGCTGGCATCTTAAGAACATTCCAGGTGGCAGGGGAAAGACAAGTGTGTGCACATGTAGAATCACTTTACAGGGAAATTAATAATGGCAGCTCAAGTTCACGCATTTAAACCTAAATATGGAAATGGAAGAGGAGCACTGTGAGGGGGAAATGGCCTTTGATATGGTTTTATGTATTTTAATGACCTAAAGAAACTAATAATCATTAAGAGGCTCCTGGTTTTACAAAGCCACCAAACCAATTCTTAACACTTCTTATACCTTTTAAGTAATAAATACACAGATCTTGAAATTCTGTAGCCACTGACTGGGGGGTATCCTGATGTGAGCATCAGTTAAAATGCGACTTCGTAACATATTATTGCACTTCCACAGGTCACACAGAAATGAGTACAATATGCTAAAGAATTTGACAAAGGGAAAGAAGCAATCATTTCTAAATACTGGGGTACAAATTAATTTATCTGTGACACCTTTAAATAGTAAAGCAAGTATCAATATCATCTTATTAATAAGCTAATATTATTGTTTTTTTGGCAAATATCTGAAATATTTCCTGAGCATTTTTTTCCCCACCATTAACCAACAAAGCCTCAAGATAAGTAAAGTGTTTCATTCAAAACTACTTTTCTTTTTTAAAAAAGAGAAAATGTAGGAATAAGATCAGGAAAGAACTTAACCGGAAACTTTCTTGGCCTCACTGGGGACCATGCTTTAAGTACTTATTAGTCAATTTACAGGCAATACAATAATATCTGTGCATATAAAATATTACTTACCCTAATTTATACTACCCAAAACCTATTGTCCAAACAGGCAGAAATCTTTCTAGATTAAATTGCACATACTAAAAAATTTTGTCCACGTGCCTTGAAATTGATATATATATATATATCACTGCTCATACATTAGTGATAAAATACTGAAATTTTCACTGTGAAAATAATTATTATTCAGAGAAGAAAATATTCTTTTCCCTAGCTCTCAGTTACTTTTCCAGGTAAAGTGTCATTCCCACAAAAGCAATCAGTGCAATCCAAACGAAAGCAAAATAAAAAGAGAGGAATGCCATCTCTGTGGTTCTTCTAGTGACGCAAAGAGCAAGTCAAACCATTTAACTTGAGGTTGAACTTTTCCTCCGTGAAATGTGTTGTTAAAATTGGCCTCCCTGGACAGCCACAGTGACTTCTGTTCATCAAGAGGATTTCCAACTCTCTTTTTGAAGAATGAGCTGATATTTTCCCAGGCTAAGAGAACCTGACTGTGGCACCTGAACAGTGTGAACTCACCCTAATCTGCCCAATCTCCTTTGCAACCGCGCAAATCCCCACCCTAAGTAGCTAGGCTGCTGTTCTTTTTACAAATGAAATGATGGCCGTCCTCACAGCTGAAATGTCTCTCCTGTACTGTAGGGCATACAGTTGAGGGAAGAAGACCCAACTAGATGCAGGCGACAGATGTGTAGTGAAAGAGGAACAGAGAGGAGAAAATCAAAAAGGGAAGTGGGGGACGGTCGTGGGATACATGTCTAAATTTAGGTGCCAGACAAATTCTGTGACACGAGGCTTCTTGACCAAACAGCACGCCAATCACACCAGTGAACTGGGAGGAACAGGCATTTCCATTTCTGTTCATGCAGTAAAGGCTGCTCTGCTGGCTTTCTGAGTGTCAGACTGCTAACTGGGAAATTTAAACCTGGGGGATCTGGTTTTGTATCTGGGAGCCACCTCAGGGGGGCAAAAATAAATCTCTAAGGTGCACTCTTAAAAAACAGTATCATTTCTGTCCTGACCCACCCACCTCCCCCCACCACCGCTGCCACCCAGATATATGGAAAACGGAAGCAGGACGTGCTGTCTCTGGGCACGGGGAGAGGAAGAGGGCCTTTGGAGCCATCACCTTGGGGAGAATATGTTATGAACCAAAAACAGCATGGTCAATGTCTGTGCCACCGATCTGCAGATGCGCGGCAGTCATGAATTAATCAATGGCCTGCCACTGATGTGATTCCTCTGCCACACGAAATACAGTAAGGCTCATCGTACTTGGAAAACACACACAAAAGAAAAAAACAGTTTCAGAAAGTATAAAAACTTAAAGCATTGTCCCCATGTATTTTTATAAAAACAAAACAGACAACTTTCTTACATTAAAATTAAGTGCTGAAAAGATACAAATGAATAGTTATTGAACAAATAAAAACAGGTCTGAGCTACTCCTCTTCAACCCAGTAAGGCTCAGCAACTTCGTATCTTTCAGATTACCAGCATCAGGGGACTGGAGCTCAGCTCACGAGTTTTGGCAACACTGTCCTCTGCTGAATATTCCCATTGGCATCTGTCATCTGTGCCAAATTAGTCCTCAGTTTGGACGCTGAGCTGGAAGGTGGAGGTAACTTGGAAATCGACGTGATAGCACCAGAGCTCTCGGTTATCCGCTTCACTGAGGTCTTCTCCCCGGTCGGAGGCTTGGGCAACCGCCTTCTCAGCCAGGGGTGCCGCAAAGCCTGGCCCGGGGTCATGCGCACGGCAGGATCCCACTCCAAACACTGTTTTAAGAAGTCAAGGAAGAGGGGATCGTCGCACCCTTTCAGTGCATTCCCCCACTCTCTGCTCTCGGGTGGACCCCTCAGCTTCCCTCTCCGGGAACGGCCTCCATTGAGGACCACGTTGCCGTCAGAGAGAGTCGTGACAGTGCAGTAACGGGGATAACCCTTGGAGCTCACGAAATTTTTGGCTCGTTTGGATGCATCCAGCAGTTTCTGGGAGGGCATGCCCAACAGCTCAATCATACAAGCCAGCTGGTCCCCTTCGTCTTCCCCAGGCAAGAGGGGGTAGCCCGTCAGGAGCTCTGCCAGAATGCAGCCCAGGCTCCACATGTCGATGGGCATGCCGTACCTGGCCCCCAGAATCACCTCGGGAGCCCGGTAAAAGCGCGACTGGATGTACGTGTAGACACGCTGATGCTCGTAGCAGCTGGAGCCAAAATCGATCACTTTGATGCCACTTCTACCCTGCTGCTTTAACAAAATATTCTCGGGCTTAAGGTCACAGTGAATGATCCTGTTTTTGTGCAAAGCATCCAAGCACTGCAGAATCGAGTGGGCAAACTTGCGGACCAAGGGCAGGCTGAAGCCCTGGAATTTGTTCTTCTTGATGAGCTCATAGAGGTTCATGCTCAGCAGCTCAAAGGTCATGCAGATGTGGTTGCGGAAGGTGAAGTTCTCCAGCATGTGGATGACGTTCATGGCGTTGTCTTTGTCCTGCTTGCGCAGGTGCTCCAGGATGCGGATCTCCTCGGCCGCCTGCCGGTGAAAGCGCTTCTCGTTCCGCACCATCTTTAGGGCCACGTGCTGGTGGACTTTGTGATCGTACGCCTTGACCACCTGCCCAAAGCTCCCCTTCCCAATGACCTTGAGGACCTCGTACCTGTAAGCCACATGGTCATGGGGCACCTGCACATACGATCCCTGGTCATCATCGTAGCCACCGTTGTTGGGCCCGCCCGTCATGCCCTGGCGCTTCTTTGCGTTTGGACCCAAGAAATATATTTCAGGGTAGCTGAAAATCTCATGGTGTTCGAAGGCTGTGAGTTTTTGCATGTATTGCTTCATTGCTTGTTCGGGTGTCATGGGTGTGGCTTTCACCTTTCCCATGCCTTCGATGGACTTGAGAGAGGTGGAGCTCCCCTGCCGTCTATGAATGCTCTCCAGCTGCCGCTCTGGCACCACTGGCAAGCTTGTTTTACCCACTGTTGTAAGCCCATTTGGTTGTGTCGTGAGCACGGTCCGCTTGTTACTGTTGTCCTCAAACAGCTGCTGAACCTGGATCTGTCCGTGGCTGTGGCTGCTGATGTGCAGGTGATCATTCATGGTGTGCTTACTGCCGCCAATCTGGAAGGCAGACGGGAAACATCACCAGCACGGAAGGGGGCTGTTCAAATAGGACACTTCCTAAGCCAGCCCCCATCCCTGACCCTCACGAAACCCAATTTGGCTAGAATCCATGACCAGAATCAGGAACAAAAAAAGCTGGACACAAAGAAGGGGGCCCCAGGGTCACACTGGCAAGGACAGTGAGTTTAATGCAGACAGGCTGTGACAACCCAAAAGAAAGAGGGCTTAGTGGGCTGCATAAGGCTATGAAACACAGGATTCTGAAAAGAGGAGCCCATAAATGCCACACCTAAGAAAGGAGAACTTTGCTGGACACACTCGTAGTCTTGAATGTGAGTTCCCAGCGCAGGCAGAGATGCTCTCTCTCTATTATTATTCTATCCAGAATGTTTAGCACAGGGGCTGACACGTCACAGGTGTTATACCCAATCCACACCTGCACCTTTCCAACTTCAGTTAGCAGTTCTTCATTAGTGGGAGCACAGGGATCATGCCTGGTCTTGTTTACCACTCTTTCCCCAATATTGAGCTCTAGTCCAAAAACACTTCAGCCCCCATATTTCCCCTTTCTTTGGCAATCTGGTTAAACCTAGGAACACGCATGATCCAGCAACAAAGAAAACTGTGCTTTTAGGCTCAGAAGATTCTCACACAGATATGTGCTGCAGTATCTTGTAAACCTCTACCCTATTTTTAAAAGGTCTGACTGTGATGACCATTTAAGGCCATTCAGCCCAACAAATAAGCATCCACCACACTGTCTGGGGCCTTCCTTTGGTCAATGGCTGGGCTCTCTTAAGACATGTATTTCTATGAGCTGCTGGGATACTCAGCATTCCAACAAGGAAAACAAAGTAGCAGTTTCTATTTCTGGCACACATGACTGTCTAAACAAAACTGATGGTATAGACTCATGAGGCCCTGGCTTTTACTGAGAATCCACTTGAGATTTTCAGTGTCACCACTGGTAGCAGGTGGGAGAAGATTCACAGCCAGGATCCTGCCCTGCCCACCCCACCCCCAACCACTTAGGGGTTCCTCCAGCTCCAGCCTTAGTCAACCATGAGCTTTTTTTAAAATTAAACAATTAAGATGTCATTATTCATTTATTTTTCATTTAATTTATTTGAAAGGCAGACAGATTTCCCATCCATTTCACTCCACAAATGCTAGGGCTGGGCCAGGTCAAGGCCAGGAGCCAGGAACTCAATGCAGGTCTCCACAAGTCTGACAGGGATTCAAGTACTTGAACTATCATTTGCTGCCTTCCAGCATGGCTGGAAGCTGGATCAGATGCAGAGCCAGGACTCGAACCCAGGCACTCTGATATGGGAGACATGCATCCCTAGTGGGATCTTAACTGCTGCACCAAATGCCAGCCCCAACCACAAATCTTAAAGCAGACTGCTGCGTGATTTTTATATGAAATTCTCAAGATCAATTTTTCATTCACAACTCACCTCATTCATTCAACTGGTTTCAAAGGAATCTGGCCACAGAAGTGGCAGAGTCCCTGCTCTCCAGGAACTTATGCTCTGAAGTCTTTGGCCATCAGCATTTTCTCTATTTTCCCCTTCTAAATCCTACCTTATGAGAGTCATAGAACTGCTCTCAGTGCTGTGTATATGTAACACAGCATCTGTGGAGACGGTCTGGGAACACCCTGGTTATAAAAAGAAATTTCAAGTCCTTCCTATTGGCAGACCAAGACCTTCACATTTTTGTTAACTGACATGTGACATGGACAATGACCATTTATGGCGCATACTCTCTCTCTGCTCCCTTCTGAAATGAAAGGGAAGGTAGTGCTTGGGCCTGTCTTACCACGATTTCATAGATTCAGGGATTTTATTAGAAAGAGTTTTAGGAGACTTCTAGTTGAGCTCTTTCATTAAACTTAAGGATGATAATCCATGCTAGGTGACCTTATATCCTGGCAAGGGTGGCTGGACAGGTTATTTTATTGTCGCTGGATGCCAGAAGCAGTGCCATCCATAAAAAGGAATTAGGAAAGCCTTGGGTAGTCACAGGCAGTCTTTGAAAAGTTCACAGAAAATGCATGTCATAAAAAATTATGCATGCATTTCAAAATCTTTTATCTTTTCATTTGTCCAGGAAATTCCTGAAGGATCCTTGTACACACGTAGCATGGGTTTGTGTATTGCCTTACTTTCCCAACTTTACTCTTTGCATGTGTTCCTCTCCACTGAGTCTTTCAAGTACCAGGGAATAAAAGGACCTGGAATTCAAAACATATCTGCCCCACAGACCCACTCTCTTGGAGGCAGAAGGGATACATGTCAAAGAAAAACCTACGACACCAGCATCCATGCTATAAAAAGCCCGAGCTTCACTGGGGACAAAAGCAACCTTGGGGCTGCAAGGATTCCTAAAAAGACAGCAAAGTAAAACTTCTGAACATCAGAAAGTCACTTCCATTTTTGCTATAGCCTTTATATTGTGCATAATAATTCAAATGTGATCACAGACATTTTGGGGACTAGAACTAAAAAGTCTGCCAATAAGCTAGACTACCTCCTGTTTTTCCAACTGCCTTTGCACTATCAGCTATTAGCTCATCTACCCTAGTTGGATTCAAGTCTCTGTTCTAGGTTTCTGATTCCTTAACACTCCCTTCTGCCTGCCTGAGCCACACCCCTACCCAGGGCTTCAGCGAACAGCACAGCTACTCCTGTGGCTCAGATCTGCCACATCTGTGCCTCCTTCACTCAAGAAGGACATGTCCGACTGCTGATTGGCTGCCTTCCTCACCCGCAACTCAAACTCAGTGCATGACTTTCCTTCTGAAAAGGTTTCCTCTTCACCTGATCTTCAATTTTTAATAAACACCTCCACCTAGTCCTTCGAGCTTTATACCTGGGAATTGTTGGCACTGCACACCTGGAAAACCCTGTCATTATCTCTCTCCTCTTTCCAAATCACCATGAAGCCCAGTCCTGTCCATCTCTGGCCCTTTTCACCAACACTGCCTCACCTCATGGCCCTGTGTCTCTCATGGAGGCAACTGAAGCGGCCTCAGAACATGCTCCTTTGCTTCTTAGTCTAGAACTCCTCAACTCTCTTCTCCACAGTGCTCCAGTTACCACTGAAAAGTCCCAAGGTGCAACTGCCCGTGCTGTTGCTCAAGGCCCACAGCCGTACCCTGTTTCTAAGACTCAGAAAAGAACTTAGCAGAGCGAACACGAGGTTCTAAAATGTAGAGCCTGATGACCTGAGTCCTTCCAGTCTCATCCACCACTGTTAGTCTTCTTCCCAAAAGGAACAAAGCTGGGTTCCCCAAGAATCAAGGAAACATGATGCCCTTCTGTGCTGCTCTCCGTTTGGTGAGGTCACATTTCATAATGACTAGGAGCTCACAGATGTTCAGCTAGACACCTACGAAATGAACCCTAGTTCCAGCACTTACTGTGTGACCCTGGGTAATGTAGTTAATCTCTCTGAACCTCAGTGCCCTTGTCTGCAAAAGAAGGTAACAATGTTACCTCATTAGAGCTATTAGGAGGATTAAAAAGGTAATACGTACAAAGCCACAGAACAGCACTTAGCAAATGAGAGCTGTTACTACTGCCCTTTTCCAATGCTGCTGGGAATCTCCTTCCTTCCAATGTCCAGGTGATCTCTCTCTCTATTCACCACCCTTCAATGCCTGTTTAATTCTCACCTCCTTTGAAACTTTGCCTCATCTACTTAACAGTTCCTCCTACACTTACACAGTGCTGCTGTAACACTGACTTCATTTCATTGTAATTGTTTTAACATCACATGTACCCACCTGGCTGGGTGGGGTCACTTCTTATCTTGGTGAGGCCCTATCAGGCACACAGTAAGCATTTGATCAATAGCTGCTGGGGGCAACACAGGTCAGTAAGTGCTCTATAAACTCTCACTTCTTTTAGAGCTGTTCAAAACTACATTTTGCACCTTCACAAGGAAACTCCACTTGGTCAATACCCAGGGAGCTGGGAGCCGTCCCTCAGGACCTCAGTCCCAAGATCTTAACTTGCTGTGCATCAGCAGAGACTTGCAGGCAGAGCACAGCTGGTTACAAGTGCCGAGAGCAGACACATCAACTCAATATCTAAAAACAGCGCGATGAATCTCAAAAACGTTCCAGATGTTAAGGAGACTCACGGAGAGGCCCCAGGACACGCAGTCGCAAGCACTGCAGAATTCTAAAAATCGCAACCAAACTCAAAAGCACAATTAATGAGCCCACCAAACAGATAGTTAACAGTGTCTCCAGTGGTAGGCAGGAAGAAGCTAGGAAAGATGGAATGTTTCCAGGATACAAATGCCAGGACTACAACATTCACTTCAACATATTAAAAACTTCTCACTCCTGTCCAGCCGCCTTAAGTCTGAGAATGTGGCTCATCACCATTTGCCACTGTCTAGCATAGTGTATGCCACATTTAAACATATACACTGAAGGGATGCTGAAACTGTTAAAATGGTGGGACCTACAAAGCTTTCTCTGACCATGAAATATTTTCGTATTAAAAATTATGTAAGAACAATAGCCCGAGCAGTTGAGTAGCCTCACTGTCTTCCAACAATAAATGGCAAACAGCAGAGTTTTCACTGTGTGAATATTTTTGGGCGTTTTCAAAACTTTTCCGAAGTCAACTTAGAAATGCTGTGTAGTGTTATGGGAATAGAACTGAGTCCAAAAAGACTGGAATTTTAGCTCCTCCTCAAACATACTGACAGTCTGTGTGGCCCTGAGTCAAATGTCTACTTTTTCTTCTTCAAAACACTACTATTTTTTAAATGTGAATAGTCATTCTTTAATTCCAATTTTTTAATAAAGGTGAATCTGGTAATGGGAGACTGCTTCAAACACTCCAACAGTATGAAAGTGATGCATATTAACACTTTGGAATTTTGAAAACAAATATATTAACATCTTCCAGGTAACACTAAAAGAAAAAAAATTGATAGAAATAAACATAGTTACACTTTGAGGACAAATGGGAATATTTTTAGGACAAAGAAATACACTATAATTAAGACATGCATGAAGATAGAAAATAAAGGGACATGGACTAAATAAATTTTGAAGTTCATAGTCTGCATAATTACATATTGACCTGCCCACTACATCATTTATAAGAGAAGGCATGGGCAAGCTCCAGCGACCAGGTCATTTTTCTCTCCTTAATGCCCCTGTCCCCCAGTCATTCCACAGCAACTCCTCCCAGGCCTAACTGCTCTGGAACTAAAAACTAAAAAACTTACAGAAACCTGAAAGACATAGGGGAATACGGATCTGCAAAGGCTCTTCACTTGTAATGAAGTTAATACAATCTCCTAGGATTACCAGTGTGGGACAGTATGTCAAAACCACACTCGGGAGGGTGTGGGGTTTATTGATAGGAATTAACTAGAGAATCCTGACCAAACCAGTTAACATGTCTGTTTCTTCCTCTGCAAATCAAAGGAGCAGAACGTGATAAACTCTATATTCCTTTAACTCTCCTGTTCTAGGAAATCTGCGATGTTACACAAATAAAATCCAAACTCAACGACCAACCACATTCACAGTTCTGAAACCATGTACCTAATCAGCAGCAACATAATGTCTGAAACAGGCCAGTCCTCAGAAGCACATACACAGCGCGTCTTGGCTGCAGCAGTACTGGCTGCTCCTCCAGGGGAGACTCTGCCTTCCCTACATTCACTACACATTTCAATTGTAAAGAGGCTCTGATGGCACAAAGTGCACCCTGACAAAATTGGAATCCAGTTGTAAACTAAGTACTTTTTTTCCAGTTCACATCACGTCATGTGAGTATATCAACACACAGGGGGAAAAAAAAACCCTAGATGTTACATTTGCCAAATTGCCAGATGATTCCAAACCAAACAAACAAAAAACCCAAACCCCTAAAACCAATGGCAGATTCTAAAACATCAGTGTGATAAGAACATTTAACAAATACAGAATCATCCATCCTCCCAACAAGACTCTCCCTGACATCAACAATCCAACACTGATTAGGCAACTGCTGTGTTGTCAGAAGGGAGGTAAATAACAAAGCAGCTTCCTAGCTCTAACAGGTGCAAACTGCACCCTAGATCGCCTCTCTGATTCTCTGATAAACAGGTTTCCCCAGAACCCACCATCCCCAGAGCTGCTCCCCTTTGCTAGAACTCAACTTTTCACTTGGCAAACAAAATCGCACCCCTCATGCAGAACCATTTTAGGTGGTTCCGCTTGGAAGCTGCAAAACCTCTGAACCCTGAGATCACCTCCTGGGAGCTGGCAGTCTCCATCCGAGGGCTCTCGCTGGGAGCAAAGCGAAAGCACATGCTGGAGTCCAGGGCAGCTTGCCCACCATGGTGGCCGCTGGTCCCACGCCGGGCCAGGCTGGGCCGGCCCCTCCCTCCTGGGGCTCCGAGGGCACACAGCACCTGTCAGGTGCCCTGGTCTTCCCACCTCCGGAGCAAGGCTGGCCCCATAATGCCCAACTGCAGGATCCTGCCGGGGTGGCTGGTTTTGTTTTGACTGCTGCTGTGGCGCTTATTTTTGTTAATGTTAATTACAATTTCTGCTGTGCTCAAACCTGTAGCACTCATAAAACATGCTTACACACGCGGGGGGACAATTGGTGGGGCTCCCTGCTGGCTGCAGCCGGGCCTGGGAGGCTCTTGGGGGGATCGATTTTCCTAGCAGGACAGCCTGACTGTCCCCTAACACATATCTGTTTCTATAAATAGCCACGACCCACGGGAGGGTGTGTTGGGGGGGGGCAGGACAGATGTTTACCGGGTCAGGGCGTGGAGCTCTGAGAAGCAAGGACAGAAAAAATAAGGAAGGGAGAAGGAGAGCGACAATGAGGAAGGCAAGCTTGGGGGTGGGCGAGCTCTGCGGGGGGAAGTGTGGGGGCCCACGCCACGAATCTTCCTTTTGTAGCTGCAGTTTGGGGCTCGCCCAAGTCACCGGGGCCGCACGCACTTCGACCTTCCCTCGGAGGCGTCCGAGCCCCGGAAGCCCGGGCGCTTGTGCCCCGAGGGAACCCTCCAGGCCGCCCCCCACCCGTGGCCGCCCGCGGGCGGGGTCTCACCGTGTGGGCCGTGGCGGCCGCGTTGCTGGCCCGGAGAGGCGGCAGGGCGATGGGGGAGGGCGGGCCGGTCCCCACTCCGCTCCGGGGGGCCCCCGCGCCGAGCCCGGGGGAAGCCTGAAGCTGACGAACGGCGCTGTCCCCTCCTCGGCCTGGGAGCCACGCACGGGAGGAGACAAAAGAGGGTCAGGGGCGGAAAAAAGTCATCCGAACCCCGACCTCCCCCACCGCCCCTCCGGGCAGAACACCCCTCCTCCAGT